TTTGTGACACCTACAGCAATCCTCACAAGCAAGGCCACACAACCTCCATAGCCAGAGTGACACTAACACAATGATTTTTGAAATGTCACTTCCATTTTCATACTGGTAATTTCTAGAAAGGATTTATTGCTTCTTGGACACAGTGCTGCCTCCTTGTTTTAGTGTGGACCTAACTTTTCAAAAGACTTTCAAAAGTCTTTTGACTTTATTGGCCACAGGATAATAGGAAGTAGGGATATTTTGAGTCATCATTTTAATTCCCTGATCCAGGAAGTTGTTCTTGATGTCATGAGGAACCCTACCAACTCTGCTATCCTTGTATCCTGAGTTCCATGTGTCTCCATTGTATAGCAAACTTCATGTCTTACAGTTTGGTTAATTGATATTTCAACTTTCCTAGTCATGAGCATTTTGGGATATGCTGACCAAGATAGCCAGGCCAGCAGCATCTTATTTCCTGAGATTACACAATAAAGCCCTATGGTGCAGGCCATTGGACTGAGCCTAGTTTTGTCACAATGTCAGGATAGGCAAGACTTGGCATGCATGCATTAACTACCTCTTAGTGATACAATTATCATAAATGGACCTGAAGTGTAGCTGGGTAAATGGGTTAAGAATTTCAGCTAAACCCATCTAATCATGAGATATGGCAGTACATAGCCAGGAAGGAAAAGACCCAGTAGCTGCAGTAGTTGCCAGGTCTGAAATTCGATGTGGCCTAATCTATAGTGCACATGTAGGGAATTTCGTAATCACCTATGCTGCTGCTGAATCTGGTAGAAGACTTACCATCAGCCCTTGAGAAATTCTCCATCACCTGCCATGTGCCACAGTGAGTCTCAGAAGTCACAACACTGGCACCACTCCCTTTCTTGATCCATTTGAAAGATGATGGAGATGGCTGTCTAGGCTTTAAAACTACCTCAAATACAAATCTCAAACTTTCTTCTTCACCAATGCTATTTGCCCTGAAAATTGTCTCACTGCATGAAAACTTTGGTACCATCTACACTGGCCATTTAATGCAGTTTGAAGCTAGCTTCATAGTGCTACAATCAGACAACAAACACCCACACAGTGTGTGAAAGAAAGCCCTTAATGTGTATCAGCCCTCTGTGGTTTGTGTAATCACCACCTGAGTCTTTCTAAAATTTCCTATATAATAATCTGGACAATGGAACCACTTTCCTCAATTATCAATTTGAAGCTGCATTACATGGTCAGTGTAGATGGGGCCAGAGAGAAGTGGAAGAATTGTTTTAGGCCCCATCTACACTGTCATATAATCTTCAGTTTCAGAATGCAGATTAACTGCATTGAACTGGACTATATAGCAGTGTAAACTCATAATCCAGTTTAATGTGTTCAATCTGATTTATATGAGCCTAGGGGCCTTTCTACACTTCCTCCAAGCTCAGGAGGAACTGGATTATTATAACCCAGTTACTCCTGGGCTTTTGTCACCACCCCCAATCCAAACCCCAGTCTTTCTCTTGGGGGAGGTGACTAGGTGGTCAATCAAGAGGGCACCCAGCCATCGCCCAGCCCCCATTTTCCCCCTCAAAAAGTTGCCAGCAGCAAAGACTCTCTTTGAGAGTTCTCCTGATGTGTAAAAATAATGTGACAGGAGAGAGAGGACGGAAATCCCTACTCCAACCCCAATCTCCTGACACATCATGGGATGGCTGTGAGGATTGCCTAGAGACTGTTGAAGCATTCCCGGGAGCCAAATGCCCCTTCTACATAGGTGTATACAATCCATATTATCTGCTTTGAAGTGGATTATATGGCAGTGTAGACTAACATAATCCAGTTCAAATCAGATAATGTAGATTTTATACATTTTTGTATAAAAGAGGCCAAAGTAATCCAGAAAAAACTGAGATATCTGAGTTTTCTCCAGATTATTACATGTTTACCTGAGGCATTGTTTGGACACCTCAGATGAACCCATGGTTCATCACAGATTATAGAACAATGTAGAAGGGCCCTAGACTGACCATTATAATGCAGTTTAAAATAGATTATATGGAAGTGTAGATGGGTCCTTAGACTTTATCCTTTGTCCAGAGATCCAGAAGACCCAGTGTTAAATGTAATACATACTAAATGATGCACAAAGCAAGTGTTTTGGATTTTGATCTAGGATTTTGGGAGACCAGGGTATGAATTACTTTCTAGCCATTGGAAACCACTGAATGCCTTTGGGAAAATGAAATGATTAGTGGACTGCAGCAACAATTCCCCTCTGAATAAATCTTATCAAGTAAATCATGATGAGGCCATCATAAGTTGGGTATTAAGCCAACAACAAATATTTCAAGCAGTGTGTAAATGTCTCCCAAGCTACCTTGGGAGACATGTTATACCCCTGCTTTGGCATAGATATAAATTATGCCTTGGGATGTATGTACACATCAAAGTACTTTAACTATTGTGAGCTTAGTTTCAATTTTTTCATTTTACATAAATACTCATGACCCATTTATATCTATTTATCAACCATAGCACCTTCCTTGTGTTGAATTTAAGGTTGATGAAAATGGTTCCTTTTACTCTACTCCACATTTGAGTTGTACAATGTAATGTGTTATCAAAGCTGAACAGAAATTCCCATTCACCCCCAGGTATATCTCAGTGTTTCATCTCTTTGAACACATTTTAATTATTTAGCAATCCACTTTTTGTTCACTTTTTATCATTTCCATTAAACCAGTAATTCCCATCTGATCATGTTTTAAATGTATTTTTCAAACTATTTTTATTTTGTGTTTTATGCAGAAGTGTTGCTTGATTGTTTTTTAATTGTATTAATAGCTTCTTTAGGTGTCCTTTGTTTTAACATGTTACAAGCTACCTTGAACCTTGCATGGGAGGAAACATATGAAAATAATATATGAAATAAATAACTTTGTGCTAAGGCACACATTTTCACACAACACTGGTTGGATCTACACTTAGAAGTCACAGGTCCGCAGTTTGGGTGTCCTCCTGGACTTATCACTTACACTTGAGGCTCAGGCGTCGGCGGTGGCCGGGAGGGCCTTTGCACAATTAAGACTTGTGCACCAACTGCGACCATACCTCATGAAGGCAGATCTGGCCAGGGTGGTCCATGTCTTAGTCACCTCCAGATTTGACTACTGTAATGCACTCTACATGGGGCTGCCCTTGAAAACGGCTTGGAAATTTCAGCTGGTCCAATGGGCGGCGGCCAGGTTGTTAACTGGTGCTCCTTACAGGGAGTGGTCAACCCTCCTGTTTAAGGAGCTCCACTGGCTGCCATTCATTTTCCGAACCCAATTCAAGGTGCAGGTTCTTACCTACAAAGCCCTGAACAGTTTGGGACCTGCCTACCTGTGTGACCGCATTTCTGTGTACGAACCCATACGATCTCTTTGATCATCTGGAGAGGCCCTACTTGCGCTCCCACCTGCATTGCAGGCGTGATTGGTGGGGACGAGAGAGAGGGCCTTCTCGGTGGTAGCCCCTTGACTCTGGAACTCACTCCCTAAGGACATCAGGCATTCCCCATCTCTGGCAGTCTTTAGGAGGAGCTTGAAAACGTGGTTGTTCCAGTGTGCCTTCCCAGAATAATGAATCCTTAGCATTATGTCCTCCAAAGCACTTTATACCAATTTTGGACTGCTTGTATATCTCCATTAACACCCCATCTCCATCACCTTGTTCATGCCTAGCATTATTTTTTTAAACTTTAATTACATTTGGCCCAGCCATAGATTTTAAATGTGCACTGTACTTTGTTTAATGTGTATGCTATTTGTGTATGACATTTATTTTAATTGACTTGTATTGTGTCTGTCATTGCTTGTATTGATGTATTGCGGGCCCGGCTTCATGTGAGTCGCACCGAGTCCCATGGGGAGATGGTAGCGGGGTATAAATAAAGTTATTATTATTATTATTATTATTGTTGTTATTATTATTATTATTATTATACTGCATTTATACTGTAGAATAAATGAAACTGGCATTACTTCAGTTGCCATGGTTCAATGCTATGTAATCACACGAGTTGTAGTTTTACAAGGACTTTAGCCTTCCCTGCCAAAGAATTCCATGGCATTGGGTCATGGCAGTTAAAGTGAAAATGTATTGCATTAATTCTGCAGTGTATGTGTACGTGTACCTTTACTCATGCTCAGAGCAGATCCACTGAAGGTAAAGGTACAAACGGGAGGGAGGTATGTCTCCTGTCCTGTTCTTTCATTGGATTGACTTCATGGTGGATGATTCCACACTCAACATTCTTACCTTAAATTACCTTTAACTTAAACGTATGGAACTTTCTTCTTAAAATGTTTTCCTCTTTACTGGTTTTAAAGAAAGTCCATTAGTTATATGTTCTACTGTTTTTTCAACTTTGTCAAAAATTGCTTTTAATGTTATTAATAGTTTAACTACATTTTAATGATTATTTTTGTATGTTTAAATTAATATTCTATGTGGTTTACATTATAAGAGGAATTGAGTGTCAACTATAACTTTTAAGTTTGATGTTGTCTGGATAGAAACCCTGGTGTTGGAAGTACTGTGTTCAGCTTGGGCTATCTTTTGAATAGCATATAATGTGAGAGACGAATGTACAATGGTACATTGGTCAACTCATGCTCAAAATAAATATATATGAATGGGGTTGAATAGAGAAGATATGATTCATGCGAAACCTGAGGAACGGATCATCTAAGTGTCTAAGTATCTTTTGAATACTCCCTTTGGACCAAGAAGTATCCAAATATCCCATATGCATAAGTTTCCTCCCAGTAAATGGGATAGGTTTGGGCTGTGAATATACCACACTTCAGTATTATATGTCCTGTGGAAATATGCTAGCACTTGTGATACAGCCATATCATTATTCTGTTAGATTTCAGCATCTAACTATATAACAACTTTCTTCCCCAATGTTATGATTCTTTATTAATATTTTTCTTCTCTTTCTTTTGTTCTTCATTTACCTGCTTTCCTTGGATTAGCTCATCATTTAGGAATCGAATTCATGGGTAAGTTTTCACTTTTTTGAAAAACCAATTGTTCTTGATTGCATTAAAATTCTCACCTGTCTTTTGTGTTACATGTACTGTGAAATAATTATTGCCACTGTTTTCAATTCAAAGTGAGATCATGATTCATCACAATGACAGATAAAGCAGCAGCACTACAAATATTTTATATTGTTTAAATATTTTAAGTTTTGTGGAAAAATAGCTTTGATCCAATTTTTAACAGGCACGTTAAGATATAAATATCCCAATGATACCAGATCCCATCTAAGCTTGGAGGCTAAGCATTATCAACTTTGGTTAGTACTTAGATGGGAAAGCACTGATGAATACCTTTCAGATGCCATGGGTTATGTTTCACAGGAAGTGCAGGTGATCGCCTACATAGCCCTAAATGGTTCAGGACCTGCCTATCTTTACGATTGCATCTTCCCCTATGAACCAGCATGTACTCTAAGGGGAGGCTCTTCTTTCACTTCCACCACCATCTCAAGCATGGTTGGTGGGGACGAGGGAGAGAGCTTTCTCTGTGGTGGTCCCTTGGCTCTGGAACTTTCTTCCTAGTGAGATCAGACAGGCCTTTACTCTCTCCATTTTCTGTAAGGAGTTAAAAACTTGGTAGTTCCATTGCGCCTTTGACTAAGGGGTTCACTTGAGAATTATCCCGACCTTATCTAAGCTCTATACTTTTCTGTATTTGAATGGCCAACCCAGACCTCTATTGCACTTTCCCTCGACTCTCCCAATGAATCATTGCACTTACTCTGAGCCTGAACCCAGTTTCAAATTGGCTAGCTAGGGTATTGTTTTTATGTTAATTGATTTTAATGTTTTTATTATTTGTTGTTATTTTTTTATTATTTGTTTTTATTATTTGTTGTTGTTATTTTTTTATTATTTGTTGTTATTGTTTTTACTGTGTCTGTTTTATTTGTGATCCTTGGGCTTGTCCCTCTGTAAGCCACTCCGAGTCCTTTCGGGGAGATAGAGACAGGGTATAAAAATAAAGTTATTATTATTATTATTATTATTATTATTATTATTATTATTATTTTATTGTTATCTGGCAAAACCACCTCTGAGTATTTTTTCCCTAAGAAACCCCTATGTAATTCATGAGTCACCATAAACAGACAGCTGATTTGAAGGCACACATATATCTCAGGATCAAACTGATGCAACCCGCCTTCATTTTTCTATCTCCTACTATATTTAGATAAAATTAGCTATCACAAGGTGCTTTCTTGCTTATATGTGGAATGATATAGAAACCCCATTGCCCTCCCCCACAAAAAAATTATATTTTCATATTGTCCCAAACACTGAAATCATTAAAAGGACCTGTTATATAAGAATACTTATTCTTCGATCTTCAGTGCTTTCATAGCCTTTATATTTTCTTATTTGCATCTCTGGAACTGTGAAGAATTCCAGTGAAGGTCATCTTAGGTATTGCCATCCAGTTTGGTTGTTAGGAGACAGATGTGAAAAACACCAAGTATATCTCTTTTGGAAGGTTCAAGACCTTTGGCCTTTTGAATTGGTTAGATGGATGCTAAGAGATAGGAAGTGATATAAAACCAACTCTTTATATTTTATCTGGATTTCTGTTGTCTAATGGTAGTAGTCATTTATGCTAATCTTCATATGTAGGGGACTTGGCATCTGTAGGTGAGATCATATCTATAGCATTAGTATTTGTAGATAGATCAGTATTGTTGTTAATTTTGCCTTTATAGACAAGGTTCTTTATTACACATAGCCATTTCAGTATTACTACTTTATGAAAATAAATCTATCTCTAGTGACCTGATCAGAAGGGTTTACTTTTGGCAGCATATGTCAGATCTTCTATAGTTTTATAATGGAGCCTACCAGTTCCCATCCCATGACATTGAACTTCTTCCAGTGGGGCTCTGTCATAAAACTATAGAAGACTTTGAATATGCCACCACAGAAGCAACACATGAAACTTCCCGTGTTGCCTTTGAAACAATTGGGGGGGGGGGAGCTGAGTGGCCAATTCTTCCCTCCATGGGGCAACCAGTGAGTTGGGTGATATGGGGCAACAGGTTTCAAACATCCCCTAGTGGGCACCACCGGATTCACCAAAATGTGTGGCAACTCTAGCTGGCCTGACTGATGAGACCGTAAAAGTCTCGGACTGCCTTATAGGTTTCTGTTTCAATTACCCTTGTTCTTATTATCTTGACTGCAGACCAGTTTGCCCATTAGTTCTTCAAACCTCAGGAGTGTTTGGAATATGCATGAATTTTAATTTATTTCAAACTGCATAAATCTAATATGCAATGAGAGTCTGTGTCTTTGGTTAATCATGCATCCTTTTTCTATGTACCCTTCTTCCACTTTAACATAGGCTATAGCAGCCTGGTTTAGGTTGAGCAAAATATTGTGCAGAAAAAAAAATAACTTAAACATTCTTTGGGGCTTTAAAAAATCCTTTTGAAGATAAATGACAAGTACTATTATAAAAATAAAGCCCTGTATTTTATAATAAAAGCAGAACCTGAAACGCAGTCTGCCCTTTGTGGTCCTCGCCTCTGATGCAGTTCTGATATTCTTGGACACTTCAGTCAGCAGTAAAATGTTAACGGGGACATGAAGCGATGGGAACACTACTTTTACATTTTTCTCTAAAGAGATATGTTTTTTGAAAGTGCATTTGCCACTTTAGGTTTATCTAGCTTGCCCACACAAAGAAAGCGAAGAACTGGGGAGAAATACAGTTACCAGCTTTGTACTGAATCATACTTTGTTTGTATCAGAAGCAATGATAGGTAATGATTATGCATTAAGTTATCTATGGATTAAGTGAGTCACAGCAATGCTGATCTTTACCACCCCTTCCTTACAATAAGAAAAAAGAAAAGAGGTGCTTGCAATTGATCCCACTCACCCTAGAGACTGGGGCCAACTTAAAATGAAATTTTCCCACTCATTGCTATGAGTCCTCCCTTGTCAGATCTCAATGAAAATAAACACTTTACTCTTTAAGATCAGTGCTATTATCACACACAAAGATCCATTGAACAATGCTAACTTCAATACCATTCCTGCTGTATGCTACCCTTACCTGATTTTGTGGCATTGTTGTAAGACTAGGGTCTGAACTCACTATGAAAGTTATGAATATGGGTCGTTGTAGGTTTTTTCAGGCTATATGGCCATGGTCTAGAGGCATTCTCTCCTGATGTTTCGCCTGCATCTATGGCAAGCATCCTCAGAGGTAGTGAGGTCTGTTGGATCCTAGTTCCAACAGACCTCACTACCTCTGAGGATGCTTGCCATAGATGCAGGCGAAACGTCAGGAGAGAATGCCTCTAGACCATGGCCATATAGCCCAAAAAAACCTACAACAACCCAGTGATTCTGGCCATGAAATCCTTCGACAATACAGTTATGAATATCTTACCACAATAGTTTCATTGCTATATGGTGTCTTTGATTTACTCACCCCCCCTCCAATTCTCACTTATTAGGCAGCAAGAATGGCAAGTGACAGGGGTCTGATCCCCTCTTGATGAGGAATCAGCATCCCCTCCTACGAACCATTTCTAGTGAGAGTAAGAAGTTTCCCTATCGCAATTCCTCCTTGCACTGGAAATCACTTCTATGAGAAAGGTGAAAATATTAGTCAGATACTTCTTGATCAACAAGATAACAGACAAACATTGTAGCTGCTTAGTAAGTGAGGACTGGGAAGTTCCTGCATATTGCCTAAAATAGTGTATACATAGGGACTGTGAATATGAAGCAGTCACAATTATATAATTCTACTTTATGCATTTGCAATTGCCATCTATGCATTCCAGCCTAGAAGAAAGGAACCATCTTGACTTTTTTCAAAAAAAATATATGTACAACTACATGTTACTTCTTGTTTCAGGACTTCTTGCCTCCTGCACTTGAATGGGAGAGGGAGACCTGATTATTTTTGGCATTGCCATTTAGGCCATACATAGGGCATCTAGCTCTCTCCCCCCCCCCCACCGCCCCCTGTTTCACCTGTAAACTTACCAGCAGGGCCTGGTTGTATTATTAGACCTTTTGGAGAAAGCTTCTGATGCAGCAAAATGACATGTCAGGAGCTTTCTTTGAGGGGCCTGAGGATGCAGCCAGGCTCTTCCAAGAAGTTTAGAGGGAGAATTAGGTGTAGGACCACTGGTYAACCCTGCAGGACATATAGCGCCCCCCCCCCCAGGAAAACCTGGGGTTTTCTGTGTGGCCTAAATTGTAAAAGGAACCCCCTCCCCTCTCCAAAGATCCCGATGAGTCATTTTGATGCATCAGGAACTTTCTCTGAGAGGCCTGGCTCCTCCTATAAATTTACAGGAGAACTAGGGGGGTGGCAGGAGAGGGTGGAGGTGCCATCCCAATACTTGGGTTCTTGGGGCTTGAAGAACTGAGATAGTAATGGGGATTGCCCCACAGGGTCATGGAAGGCTATCCCGAGAGTCAATCCCCACAGACCCAATACCTGAAAAGATCTTACTTGCAGTAAGGTCCAGATCTTTTTAGGTGTTTCTTTAAAATCCAGAATAAACCAGGAAATCCCAGTTTACTCTACATTAATCCAGATTAACCTGAGGCACAATTTGGATGTCCCAGGTTAATCAGAAATTAATCATGGGTTTTGGGCCTCGGTGGGAATCTACAGAAGAGTTTCCTTTGCTCTGTAGAGGCTTCCCCTTCTCTTTCTATGGGAGAGAAAGGATTCTAGGCACACATATGTAAACACGTTGAGCACAGGCATATGGATAGTAAGAGGAGATTTTAAAGCTTTTATTCTATGGATGCAAGCAAACATTGCAAAGGATATCTTGTGTTTGAGAGAGCCAGCATGGTGTAGTGATTTGAGCATTTGACTGTGACTCTGGAGGACCAAGGTTTGAATTCTCACTCAGTCATTGAAACCACTGCATGATCTTGGACAAGCCACACTCTCTTAGCCTCCAAAGGTGGTAAAGGCAAAACAAATC